GGTTCGCCGTGAGCCGCAAACCCCACCGACAAAACCCTAGACCGATCTAAGAGGGTGCGCGACCCAATGACGGAAGCTTCACCGACCTCGCCCTCGTCATCATGCTACGCCCGTGCACGCACCGCATCGACGTCCGTGCAACCTCTACTCCACCCGTCGCTCCCGTGTGCTGCCTCCATCACCGAACCAGCGATGGCCAGCAGCAACTGCCAGCGACTTCATCTCAAGGCTCAGGTTCATCACCAGCACCTCTCTACCCTATCTCCCTCACGGTGTAGTGTTCTAGGTCTAAATATGCATGTGCTTCACGGATCCAAGTGTTTATTCCCCTAGATCTACCCTAGTCGATCCATAGAACGTTAACACAAACAATTGACATTAACTCACTTTTCAAAAGGCAACACTGAATCTGCATTTTGCCTCTATATCATCGATCCTTATCTTTGGTGAATTTTTTGACATGCGACTTTTGGGGAATTGACAGCCGGTGTCTCCATTCTGGTCGGCCGCCTAGGTGTCATGCGTTTCCATTGTCTACAATAGTACTGTACCACGCTTACGGAAATTGACAATCTGACAGGAGATGGCTACCAGCTGCATGCTTATGTTGGTCAGTGTCCAATAATCTGTCTCATGCCTAGCTACTTGCCTCTGGATCGGAGAGGCTGATGCTGATGGCGACAGAGAGAGGGATGGAAGGAGAGAGTAGACGACTCACAATGTCAACGACGACCCTAGGCGTCAAAGTCTGAACATAAATTATAGTACATAATTTTTTCCAAAAAAGAAAAATGATAGTACATGCCATGCGTGCACAAGGCACTTTGTCGCGCTCTAGATTCAACTCGGATCCGATGTACTTTCAGTTTTTGACAGTTCCGCGTGCAAAAGGTTTTCAGTTTTCACTCTAGATTCAACTCTGAATGATAGCTCATTGTGCAAGGTTCTCATTCTGCACGCATGGATTCAACTCTGATGTGCTTATTATTTGCAGTTTTTTCACAGCTCCAGTGCAAGGTTTTTACACTGGATTCAACTCTGCCTCTACTGCTTCTGCTTGTCGATCGGCTCTCATGGACTCTTATTAATCGCATGCGTGTTCAGTTCAGTCAATGCTTGAGATCGACCACAGATCGTTGGTTACAATTAGAGCTTCATTTTGCTGGCTCATTGGATGTTTTTGATCTGTAGTGATCTACAGCTCTAGACAGGAGAGTTATTTCTCCTACAAAGTTTGACATTCAGTAGAAAAAAGATTGTGCGGTCTGGTGATAAGTGAAGGACGTTCGCGCAAGGCATGAGGTTGCAGGTTCAAGTCCTTGCCAAAACAATAGTGCTATAAACACTTCCCTGCCCAAACTTGTCCTAAGTAGTTTTTTTTTCTTATTTTTTCATAATTTTTAAATAAAATCTAAAAATATTTTTTAGTCAATTATATTGTCATCCCTGGAAATCTTATATTTCTATAACAAAAAATCTAAAAACCAATTTTAGTCAATTATATTGTCATTCTTGGAAATTTACGCCATGTTCGCTTGGCTTATAAGCCGTACTCTTTCAGTCAATGAAAAGTATTTTTCTCTCACAATAAATCAGCCAACAGTACTTTCAGCCATGGCTTATTAGCCAAACGAACAGGGCACTATTTTTCAGGAGCTAGCAGTTTTAAAACCGTCTCTAAAAATATCTCATTTTTACTATTGATGGCGTAGTAATGGATTTAACAACCGGCACTAATTAAAAATTGATTTTTATCGTCTCTGAAAACCTTATGTACGCTTGCCAGTAGGGAAGTTTCAGGGTTCAGACTTGATCTGTTAACACTAATTAACCTTTAGGGACGACTGACTTAACAAAGTTATTCCTGAAAATCAGTTTTTAGAGACGGTTGAGTTAATAAAAGCGCTTTTAAAATTCAATTTTCAGAGGCAGTTTTACAAGTCTCTTTTTTTACAATCTAATGTAATGGTTTTAACAACCTGCACTAAAAATAGATTTTGACCGTCGTTGAAAGCTGTTTCCATTGACGCCGTTCCGGCACGTGCTACTCTGGAGCGTCCGACAACAGAAGACGACGTTGGTGCGCGCGAGGGACTTCGCCGTTCGTCACGCCCGGCTCGTCCAAGTGGAAGATATGCGGACCGGAGTGGCAGTACTATGTACTAGAGCTATGTGCCGAACCCTGTAGAATACTTAAGGAGGGAGAGAGGAGTGAGTAACAAGAAGGAACATAACAAACTCATCAATAGAACCGACCTCGTTCTGTCCCTATCCTTCTCTCTTGCGTGCTTGAGTTCTTCTCCGATCCCCTTTTCTCCCAATTCTCTATTTATTGCTAACAAAAAAAAAAACTTTTGCGAGCTAGTGTTAACATGTGAGCTCGCCTGTAGGGAAGTTTCAGGGTTCAGACGACTTGAACTTGAGCTGTTAACACTAACTTTTGCATTGCGCACATGCCAAACAAAACGTTCATGGATCGATAACGGTTCACGGATGCTGTGTTAACATTAAGGCCCCCTTTGGTGCAGGTTCGGGCGGCTCCGGCTCCCTCTGCTGCGCACTGTTCACGTCATGTGCAGACACTGTTCATCAGAGCCGGTTTTCTCTCTCACAGAGCCGTTCCGAGGGGAGAAGCTCGTTTTTTTTTACTCCTCTGGCTCCAGCTATAGTGTCGCTACCGTGTAGGAGCCGGAGCACGCAGGAGCCCGGCCAAACGGAGCCTAACTTACTAGCCCAAGCCCCAAGGAAGTGCGAGCCCATCAATGGCAACAGGCGCCGTGCAGTGCGTGCATGCGTCGTGCGCACTCCATGCATCCTGCCTTGGATTCTCATCACTGGCCACCGCATGCAGCATGCCTTCCTTGTTTCCTCTGCTTCCTCCTTCCTCGACAACACTCCATGCATCCTCCGTCTAGCTAGCTTCTTTCACCACCACAGCACGTTAACGCATGTACTCTCGCTCCGTGCCATGCCTTGCCTTGTCTCGTCTCCTCTGCTTCTTCCATTTTCCTTGCTTCACCCCGAGCGGGGGGCAGCTTAATTCCTTCTATGTATGTATATATCGGCACGGGCAGGACGACGGATCGGACCATTAAGGGCTTTCGGTTCCTCAGGATTGGATCTAGCTAGCTAGGAATAATTCCAGCTTATCAAGACTACAGATTAGTAAATCATTCCAACTGAGAATTGTTCCAGAGCCTCATTCCTAAGAATCCGAACAAGCCCTAAGGCCAGTCTCAATGGGGATTTCATGGCCCTGTTACCAATGCATCCATATTTTGAAAATAGTGCAGAAGAGTTTTATCCCCATGAAACTCTCTCTACTCCCATGAAACTCTTATCATCTCTCTCTTCATCAATACGGTACAACATCAACCTATTTAATGCCCATGAAACTCTGATGAAATACCACTGAGACTGGCCTAATTAATCCTTGGGCTAGGACACGGCCAAGAGTGTCTTCCACCTTCGTCGAGTGTAGTGCCAACCTGTTGCTTCTCCTCGGGATCCCGCATATGTGCGGCGACAGAGTGGGCGAGAAGCCGGGCACGGGTGACTGCGGCCACAACACTCTCCATGAGCATTGGAAGCCAAGCAAGAGTGCGGCGCTCGAAGCTTGCAACAGCGTGCGTAAACGCCAGTCACACTGTTCGCTTGAACTACTTTTCAGGTAACGAACAATGTTTTTCTCTCACAACAAATCAGCATAAGCTAAATTTCAGCTTAAGCGAATATGTTTGAGCGCCTGGACGTCTCCCGCACCGCTGAACTTGGACACGGACACCCGCTCCCGGCTCCGCACCACGCACGGCAACACTGGCATGATGCCAAGCACATCCCAAGCCTGCGTGGTCATGGCCACCGCCGAGCGTGGCGCTCATTTCCCATGACGGCGTGACGTGAACACCGCTATATTGAGCAGCGGCGGCGCCTGCTTGCGCGCCCACAACGTGTTTGACGAAATGAAGGGTCAATAGTTGCTTGAGATGGACAAGTCAGCAGGCCACGTCAGCATGAGAAGCCCACATGGAGGGATATGGACCTAAGTGATATGACATACAAAGGTAATGGACCCAAAAGGCCACTTTAAAAGTTGATGGACCTAATTGAAACCTGCTCATAAGTTAATGGACCTCTGGTGCATTTAACTCTTTTTTTATCTTTCTTCTACCATTTCAACTTATGAGTATTAAGATGAAGGCTCCATTTAAAGTCTCCCATTTACGATAAGATACAGTTCCTAATACTAATTTGACTACTGATCGGAGGACGTTGAGACACTCTAGTCGTCGCTTGATGCGTGCATGTACGGTCGGCGGGGTTGGACTAATTTTGGCGCGTGCGTTACGCTTGCTGGCGCTGCCAATGTGACGACTGATGAGTCTTTTTCTTGCATGCACAATTGTTGTCCTTGCACTGACTGGAGCTCATTTTCAGATGCCACTGGATCAGCTACAGCAATCTCTGAGACCAGGTGGCCAACAACTAACATTACTCGCCAAACAAATACATCCATCGCCACGCGACCCCTGCAACAGGCAAGGCACCGTCGTGCATGCGTCGTGCGCACTCCATCCTTCGTCCTTCGTCCTTCTCATCACCGGCCGCCGCACTCCATGTCTCCATGCATGACTTGCCTCCTCTGCTTCCTCCTTCGATCTTCCTCAACAACACTCCACGCATGATCCTCCATCTTGTCATCGTACCCCTCCTCCACATCGACACTCAATCTCAATGCATGTGTTGCCTCGCCTTGCCTTCTCTCCTCTGCTTCTTCCCTTCCCTTCGCTCCCTCTCCTTTTCCTTCCTCCCTTATATATATCGGCACGGGCAGGATACAACAGATCGGACCACTCACATTGATCCTTGGGCTAGGGCACGGCCAAGACTGAGCGGCATCTTCCACCTTCGTCGAGTTCAGTGCGCGCGTAGATAGGTGACAACAGCGGCCGAGGTCGTCGTCAACCTCTCTCCTCCAAGTCTCTCCACAGCATGCTGCCATGGTATTTGAAAATGTCATTTTTCTATACCCTATGCTCTAAATTATATATAGATCATTTTAGCTTTTTTTCAAAAACAAAATCTATATAGCCACTTCAATCATGGGTGTTGGTCTACTTCACCTCCTTGCCTAGAAGACCATGTATTTTACTCTCTTAATTAAAGTATTCAAAACCGTCTAAATAACCCTTGGGATGGCTTTGAAGGCGGTTTTGCTTGACGTGGTAAATTACGTGGATGATGACATAGATGTGGGTCAGCAAATAATTTGAAAAAGTTTGGAGAACTATGTCAGTACTCTGTAACTGAAAAATGTTTCCTTTTGCACTCTATTTAATATATTTTTAGTAGGGGCTCCTTGCCCCTCCTGTTTCTTTAAAAAAATTAATATGAAAAAGCTTATGTAACCTCATAACAAATTGAGTGTTGACTATATAACCTATTCAGCTATAAAACCCTAGAGTGCATGCTTTTGTAAGATTGCTTTGCCTGCCAAGCTTGCCTGATTACCCTTATTGGCACGTGGGTCCATCTATAAGATGGGTAGGCTTGGCGGCTTGCTAGAAAGGTATCATGGGAATAGAAAGCGAGACAGGGATGTGGGAGGGAATGGTGTAGGCATAGACACTATGCATGATCTCGATGCCACCAAGGAGTTTCAGGGGGTAGAGCAGAAGACAAAAGATAGGGGAGGCAAGATAGGGAGGTTGGATAGGCTGGATCAAGAGAATTAAGACAGAGAGGGGGGCAAAGGGAACCAGTGAGAATGAGAGTTAAAAAATAAAAAAAAGAATGTACCCAGTTATTGATAGATCTATGTGCAAGCATGGGTAATCATAACATCACACAAGGTACAATGGTGAAACTGCCCTAGAAAACCATTCGGACTCCATTTGAAAGGTATTAGGTACTTAAGGGCTATACATATGTACAATATTAGGTTTTATAGATCAGAGCAGATTATGTAAATCAACCCTCTATATCTTAGGGGTTATATAGACTTTTGCTGTTATATTTTGTTGGCTCAGAACATAACCATATTATCATTATCCATGTAATATGCTACCTTAGAAAAACGCCATCAATACTACCCCAAAAGGTTATTTAGATGGATTTTGATACTTTAATGGGGTAAAATACAAGGTTTTCTACTTAGGGTGGTTACGTAGACTTTTTTTTCCTTTTTTGAAATCAAACTTCTTTAACTCAGACTGAGTTTGTAGAAAAAAATACAATAACGTCTACAACATATAGCCTGTCACCAAAGTTGTCTAATGACTCGCTCAAAAAAAAAGTTGCCTGATGGCATCTTTCATATAGTTGTTTTTTTCTTACAAAATGCATCATCTGCAGCATCAAATTATAGTTTCAAATTTGACCATCCATTTATCTGAACCTATAGATATTAATATTTATTTCTAAAAACTTGGTAAAAATACAGAAACTTGACTTATGATGAAACTAAAGTGATCTATAATTTAGAATGGAAGGAGCATTTCAAATCGATCCAACTCCCGCACAAGTAATGTGGTCCCATCTCTCTCCTCTAACACTCCCTCTAAAAGCATATGCTGCTGCAGGTGGATCCCATCCTGGCAGAAAATAGAGAGGGAAAACAATAGACTGCGCGATGAGAAGTCTGAATTGGAGAGGGAAAACAATAGACTACGCAATGAGAAGTCTGAATTGGAGAGTCGGATGCAGCGGTTGGTGCACCAAAACAACGAGCTACAGGATCAATTGGACAAGAAGACAAGGGATATGAAGAAGTATGAAGAAGAAGCAAGGGAGCAACTAACTGAAAAGGAAGAGGAATTGGTGAACACAAGGAACGCAGGCTTGGTGATAATGAAAACCGCCGATGCGTACGAAGAGGTAGCAAGAAAGCAACTTAAGGAAAAGGTGTGGGAACTAGAGGACACAAGGAAAGTGGTTCGTGTCCTCATGGACGCTGCTGACACATACCAAGAAATAGCAGACAAGCAAATTAAAGATATGGAGGAGGAATTGAAGGTCATAGGGGCCGAGAAAGCAAAGATGGATGCAAGGGTAGCATCTTTGGAGTCGAGGCTCAAGGTTGCACTTGATAAGAATAAGGAATTAGAGGGTGATTGTGATAAAGTGAAGTTTGAAAATTAAAGGCTTCAACTGGAGGCTCATAGGTTCATGATGGAGTTGGGTGTATTGGCAGAGGCGAAAGATGCAGCTACAAACTCATGTAATACTGAGACACCAGAAATCATGAAGGAATTGGAGGACCTTGAAACAAAGGAGGAGGAAACTCAAGCTAGCAAGGGATTTGGTGAAGGGTGAAAAAGATGAACTTTGGTCAGCATTTATTTAAGGGAACCGGAGGGGTTTCCCCCTAACGATTATGATGTATTAAGAAGTTAGAAAAGTGTGCCACTCAACATTTAAGAAATAAAAAAGTTGCAAAAAAAGATAAGCAGGATTATACACAAGGCTCTTGTCTTGAGTCAATTATTAGCAAGTAAGATTTCTTTGATATGTGGATAACCAAGGACAAGGCGTTCTTAAATGAAGATTTTCATCTTGCAATGCTTGGTTGTTTGTTTCTAAAAATGATAATATTATGTTCCCCCAAATGCTCTAGCACATCAAAATAATAATCTCTATGAAGAAAGGCAGCCACAATTATAACTTGAAGTCTTTCAAAACTACTTCAAAAGGTGAGGCGCCAATTGGAACTTGCAAATTCAAAATAGCCTGATAGTTTTGAGCAAAAGGGCATTGAATGAAGAGATGATACAGGGACTCTTCAATTTGACCATTGCAAAAAAAATCTTAGGATTGCAAGACTATATTCTTTCTTTTTAGGATCTTTATAGTGCTTAAGTGATCCTTTAGCAGTACCAGAACAACACCTTGTGTTTGTTCAGACATGAAGAGTTCAAAAGCCATTGAAAAGTAGCATGAAAGCATAAGCCATCATATGCTTGTAAGCTGTAGTGGATGAGAAGAAAGGGTTGCCCCAAATATAGGTCCAAAAAACTAGCTTCATCCAATAACACAATGTCCCAAAGGGAAGTTGTAATTGCTAAAAGGCCTCCACATATTAAGGTAGATGGAACAGTTGGTGGAGGGGATTAGTTGAATAAGCTCTAGCAAAGTTCAAGTGTTTGTTCTTTGCAAAATATAGACTTTTCCAAGCTATAAATCTATCCAAAACAAACAATTTCTGGCATCCTAATTGAGACGGTAGAACGGTCCTTGAATTTATCAACTAATTCTGTGTGTGCGTGTGCACCCCAAGGCCGCTAGATGTTAGGGCAAATGTTCATGCATTCCATCCACCCTCTCAAGTGCACATCGATCACACCAAATGGATATAATAGAGCCAATTGTTCATCTTTGTGAGAGCTAGGTCGTCTTATAGCTTGAGAACTTTGAGAGTTGGGGTTGTGTTCACTTATGATCTTGGTGAGCTAGAGCACTTAAGGTATTAATAATGATCTTCAATGAAGGCGTTGACTAAATGGGGGGTATTAATAATGACCTTCAATGAAGGCGTTGACTACATGGGCCCTGGGTGTCCTCATCAAGGCTAAAGCACATGGACAAATGCTTTTTTTATTCTTTTTCTAGAGGTACTGTGGTGTAATTCTAGTTTGTCCTACATTGATATCCTAACAGAACACTATTGGGTATATTTGGTTTTGATTCTTACATCCAATCGAACAATGTGAGAAGCAGCAATATGAAAACCTTGCCTAGGTAATTATTTCAAAATATTTCTATTGTTTTACTTTGTTTCAAAATAATGTTGTTTTATTGTCAACTTGACGCATTAGCAATGTGTGAATAAATTTGTTACTTTCATCAGTGCTTGCGCTACAATATGCATAGTTGTCCATATATTTGGTAATTTGTTTGTTTGAAGTGTATTATTGAGTTGACCAGGCTTGGTTTCACAGGCTCTGAACTTGTCAAAGCTGCAATGTCTTTGAGAATTTCCCAAATGGTCAACTATGTTTTTTGCACTTTCAAAGACTTTAAAGAAGGAATTCATTGTTCCTAATGACCTTTTGATATGGAATGGCTACGGATAGATGGATTAGCAGAGAAATCCAGGATAGCCGCCGTTTCTCGGGGACTACCTTAGGATTTCTTCTTGCTTGATTACAATCAATACCGGATTCTCTCTTTTATAGAGACAACTTACTTGACCCCTAAGTAATATCTTAACCGAATCAATCTATCTTATTCCTTTCCTAACAAACCAAACCAATCTAATCTAATCTAATCTAATCCGGTACCGTCCACATGCTACAGTACCACATGGGCCCCTGGTCCGGCTCCACTTGCCATAACACTACTCCACCCCTCCAAGACAGCTTGTCCTCGAGCTGTGGCCATTGCTAGGGGTTCTGCATGATGAGGTTGTAGGGCACAGCAATGCGCTTGGCATACGCGAAAACCTCGTCGTCGTCCATGTCACGTAGCGCGCGGATGTTGCCCATGATGGAGCAAACGTGGTGCACCGCCTTGACGACGTTGCCCATGCCGGCCTTCCCCTTGGTCCGGATCATGGCGGCGCCCTCGCGGACCTTGTGGAGCGCCTCGCCAAGGTCGCGGTAGCCGCAGATGAAGGAGATGCAGGACGTCGGCGGTGGGGGTCAGCACCTTGCTCTTGTCCACGTAGTCGACGCCGACGGCCTTGGGCTGCAGGGACAGCGCTAGCAGTGCTGCGTCGTTGTTGTCGTACGCCATCACCACGCTGTTATGGATCAGGGTATGGGTCATCGGGGTCGGAGATGGCGACGACGTCCTGGCCCTGTCCCTCCAGTGCGGCGGCACATAGCGTTGAACAGCGTTGGCGCCCACCGAAGCGGCTACCAGGTTGGCGTTCGCGCTGGCATGGCTGGCAGCGTCGATGGCCATGTCGCCCTCCAAGGCCTGCACAGGAAGGCGGGGGCGGCTGAAGGCGACCGTGGCGGCGGTGGGTGTCGCTGCTGCCCGCACTTTCTTCTCTTCCTGGAATTTCTCCAAGCGCGCAATGTGCTCGTCATGCAAATTCAACCGCTTGTTAATGGTGGAGAGTTGTGCAAAGATATAGTCAAGCTTGGCATTGATGGCCGCAGGATCGATGACGAGGCTGGCCATGGATGGCGATGCCTCGGGACTGATCTCCGATACCAATTGATATGGAATGGCTACGGATAGATGGATTAGCAGAGAAACTCAGGATAGCCGCCGTTTCTCGGGGACTACCTTAGGATTTCTTCTTGCTTGATTACAATCAATACCGGATTCTCTCTTTTATAGAGACAACTTACTTGACCCCTAAGTAATATCCTAACCGAATCAATCTATCTTATTCCTTTCCTAACAAACCAAACCAATCTAATCTAATCTAATCCAGTACCGTCCATGCGCTACAGTACCACGTGGGCCTCTGGTCCGGCTCCACTTGCCATAACACCTTTCTATTCTCATGTTCCTAATTGGTGTTTTTCTAGCTTCAAGTGACGTCAGGACTCTAATTTCTACATGTTAACCTTTTGCGGCATTTTTAGGCATGTTGTTTTTGTCATGTGGTTAGCAGCAGCCTAGTTTGCTCATTTTTCATGTGGTTGTTAGCAGTAGCACTCCGATGCTAGTGGAAGCGAGTCCAACATTGAGTTCCAGGTGTTGTTGCCGTGGCCGACAACGGCTGTGTTCAGTGTGTGCGGTTGTACGAGAGTTGCCCCACCAAGGAGAGAAAGCCAAGGGATGATGCTTTTTCTGGCATGCATGAGCTGATGAGGGTCATGTTTGCTATGGGGTCTGTAGGTTTCGAGGTTCCTTCGCCTGTGCCAACATAGACCAACAACACACCATGCTCAGCATGGCCATAGTCGGTCCATACAACATATGCGCGTGTACGCTGTGCTCATGTTTTCTATTTGATTCAAGCCATAGGGCTTGTACACAAAAGAGAAGTAATAGTATTTACTCTAGATGAAATCTAGTTATTACTGTACTCTGAAATATGACATATGGATATGAATCAACTGAAAATGTGGTTGCACCTGATAACTGATGGGACTTGGGACTATCACAAATGTGCAAAGGCTAAGAATTCTTACTGGGAATATGGTCCATTTTTACCCCTAGCTTAGATCCTCTTCTAATTGTACAAATACTCGTCACATATAATAAGCTTAAAACTATAGTCATGAACCACATGTTTACATATTAGGTTTTGGGAGAACAGATGTGTTCGCATAACATATATATATAGTGTAGCAAAATACAAAATAATATAGGCCCTGTTCGTTGGTCTGAAACTTGGCTGAAAAATACTATTCCGGCTGGTTTGTTGTGAGAGAAAAACACTGTAGCGGCTGAAACTGGCTGAATCTTCAGAGGAGAACCAGCCGGCTGGTTCGCTGGAACCAGACCAGCGAATAAGACCATAAACACAATGTCCTGATGTACACTACACATACAACACCACACAAAAAGATAGAGTGGATAACTTGTAGACTGCCAGTGCCACCAAATGAATAGTCACAACTCCCGATGGAAGATGGTCATTTGCTTATTAGAGCAAGTACTCAAGCTCTACATTGTACTCTTAACTTGTCTCTTTTGACGTTGGGCTATAAACGCAGGCATGTCCTAGGTGGTGTCTACACCTGGTGAACCATATATACTCGTCAAGCTCTCCTTTGGAGTAGCATATGCTATGCCACAATCAGAGTTCAATGAAGAAGACCGCTCTTCAAGTAGTCCAAAGAGCATTGGTTCCTCGAAACAAACGTATGGTGGAGGTGCTACCTTGCTGATGACCTGCACCACCTCCTCCATGCTCGGCCGACTAGACGGATTTGGGTTGGTGCATGCCAAGCCAAGAAGTAGCAGACGTTTGGCCTCATCAACACTGAACGACTGATGGTCGCTTGAAAACATGTTATCTATAGCCTCAAGCAACTTCCCTTCTCGATGAAGACGCCTAACCCAAAGAGTTACGTGGCTATCATCAGCTGGAACATCTGCATTCTTATTGCCAGTGATAATCTCAAGGATGAGTACCCCAAATGCATAGGTGTCAGTCTGTCGTGTGGCTCTACAGGTAATCACATAATCTGGTGGCATGTAGCCAAATGTGCCAGCAATGCCGGTAGCAGAGGTCTTGTCAATGGCAACTGTGCAGGCGATACCAAAGTCACCAAGACGAGCACGAAAGTTGGAGTCAAGCATTATGTTGCTTGCCTTGATATCTCGGTGGAGCACCATTGGCTCGTGCTCATTATGAACATAATGCAGGCCAGTTGCTATATATCCCTCACGATTTCGTAGCAGGTGTGCCATTGTAAAATATCTGTGTCATTTGGTGGCACATGCAACCGTTAACGACTGGTGCCGCTTCTTTGGAAGAGATGCTGATACAAGCTTCCATTTGTCATGAATTCATAGATAAGAAGGGGCTCTCCTTTATTGTAAGACCAACCTAAAGTATTACTGAAAATATGCATGAGTACAAGTGACTTTCAGTTATAAATTAACACTAGTCTCACTATCCCAGATCTGGACATCACTGTCGGTTCAAAAACCCCCTTCACTGCCGGATTTTGAACCGACAGTGGCATACCGGCAGTGATGGGGGGTTGACATCACTGTCGGTTCTTAAAAACCGACACTGATCTGCAGGAAATAGTGTCGGTTTCTGGCTCCACCCGACAGTGTCTAGTTGAACAACACTGCCGGTTTGTAGTCCCAACCGACAGTGATGGTTGCTTCAAGAGTGTCGGTTCTTGGCTCAAGCCAACAGTGTTGAGCAAGCCTATACTGTCGGTTCATGGCTCAAGCCGGCAGTGTTGAGCTAGACAACACTGTCGGTTGATGTCTCAAGCCGGCAGTGTTGAACAAGACAACACTGTCGGTTCATGGCTCAAGCCGGCAGTGTTTTGCAAGACAACACTGTTGGTTTGTTGATAACCGATAGTGTTTTGCAAGACAACACTGTCGGTTCGTTGCTAACCGGCAGTGATGGTCCATTCGCATTTTATTGTTTTATAATTGATTTTAATTTATATTTTTTCGTGGAATCGGGTTTCGCTTTATATACGCTACGTAGACGACAGGTCCATCAATATTAAACATTACAAATGTTACGGTTACAGTTCAAATGTCCTTATCCAGATCTCGATCCCTCAAAATAAAAAAGAAATGTTCTCGGACTTCACAGATTGTGCAATGCTTCTCGGACTTTTTACAATAATCTGGCGAGCCACTCTGGGCCATACTGGTCCTTGTACCTCACGGATTGTGCAATGGAAAATACTCCATCTTTTTCCAATACCTCGGCTAAGATGAATTTTGCGAGCTTCGATTGCAGTGCGACGATCTCCATGTCTAACAGCCTTTGGTGGTTATATTTCTTACGCTGTCGTTCAAAAAAAGATGATATCCAAAGAGCAACATTAAATTATTTTGTTGAATTATTAATAGACATAAATGAAATGGGGATTATACACACCAACTTATCGGCTTCTTTCGATTTTTCGCCGATGTAGTGAAGCATTGCCCACATTACATAAAACCCGCATTCATTGTTTCCCGCCGGTTGTGACAGGTACTTCCCCTCCATTTCGACAACCTTGAATGGGACCGGTGTCCCACCGATATGTCTTCTTCGGACACTGAGCAACATTAAAGGAAGAAACATTAGAAAGCGGTATGTGTGATTAAAAAATAATATGTTATTAGGATCGCTTACTAATTCAGCACTGCCACTGGTGCATCCAGATGATGAAATGGTTTTTTCTTCAAGTCCCACACCTCGATCAGATTTTTGGCAAGATTGACACAAATGAAGACGAAATGGTTGCTACAATCACAGAATCCTAATTATCGAATAATCTTAACGAAAAAAGAAGCATAAAATTAAAAGCCGAGAACACATACTCGCAGTTGTAGGCTAGAAGTATGTGCGTTTTCTTCTTCATCGTGAATTCGTCGAAAACAGCAATCAATCTCTGTTTTAGGTCTTCCACGTCACATCCATAGAGGCCTAGACATGTTCTCTCATTGACTCGCAAGGGGTCCAAGAAGGCTATATAATCCCATTTGCTTTTTAGAATGCAAAATTTTGCTATACACCTATATAAAATCATAGGTAGTGCTCAAAAGTTAATAATTTGTCTCGAGAGAGTAGTTAATTGTAATATCATGTGTGTAGGGTACTTACATAGTCCACAGCGTCAACATTTGAACATCGAGAGAGCGTTTCTGGTATAGCTGAAACAAGCACTCCCACTCGACATCAAACTTCTCTTCTTCAGGATAATGGAAAACATGTGGCGAATGGATAATAACCTCAAAACCAAAGTCATCCGTCTCTGTTGCTTGAGCCATGTAATATTCATGCAATTGGCGCATATATGTTGTTAAATTTTTATACTCGTCATCGGGAACCAAAAGATTGCCCCTTTCATACTTCATTACCGGTGTTCCCGTCCCTTGTACATTATAATAGATGTTCGCGGCCTCTTCCATGGTTAATCCTAGGTTGTCTTCGATGTACTTCTGTATGTTCCTTAAATCTTTATTGTGTATTTCTTCGTCTCTTGTTGTAGCGTATTTAGTCTGTGTTTGCCTTTCGAATTCGGACTTCAACAAATACGAAGGTAGTGAGGCATAGAGATTGAAGAAACTAACACAATCTTCCTTCGAGATGTGTGCTATAAATTTTTCTTTCATCAAGGTGGTAACGCTGCCATTGAACGGCCTTTTTCTTTTCTGTTGGTCCACTTTGGGAGCATTAGCGACCGAATCCAAGGATCTTTTCTGCGACTACGAGGATGTCCTTGATCTTGTTTTGGGCTGAGGTGGAGGAGGAGGAGGATGACGACAAGAATTCTGTTTTCTCGGTGCTAATGAAGATGGAGGAGGTG